GGGTGGGTTGCCAAAGACCGTGCTCCCCACCCCCCGCCACCGGGGGAGAGAGCGGGTAAAAAAAAAAAAAAAAAAAAAAAAAAAAAAAAAAGGGCAGGGAGGGCTAGGCACAGTGGCTCATGCCTGTAACCCCAGCTCTTTGGGAGGCCTAGGCAGGCAGATCTCAAGGTCAAGAGATCTAGACGATCCTGGCCAACATGCTGAAACTCTGTCTCTATTAAAAATACAAAAATTAGTTGGGTGTGGTGACACACGCCTGTAGTTCCAGCTACTTGGGAGGCTGAGGCAGGAGAATCACTTGAATCCGGGAGGCGGAGGGTGCAGTGAGCTAAGACTGCACCACTGCAGCCTGGCGACAGAGCGAGGCTCCCTCTCAAAAAAAAAAAAAAAGACATAGGTAAACTAGTTATAACAGACTGTGACTGTGCTGTCCAGGCAAGAGATGACCTGGGTGGTGGTGATGGACACGAAAAGAAGAGTCAGGTTTGTGACACTTAGAAAGTAACACAAATAGGTCTTGGTGAGAGACTGAGCAAAGGGTTAGAAAAGGTGTTAGAAACACATTGCATGGCAAAAAATGAGGTCATGACCAGCACACTTGAATGTCTACGTCCCAGAGAAAACACCCAAAGGAAACCAGGGTGGTGGCGAGGGAAAACCCCTGTGGTTTGGACACTGATTCTGAGATGCCTCTGAGGCATCTGAGGAAGGACATCAAGGCAGCGTTCCGACAGCCAGTGTCCAAAGAGCGCACCACCAGATGCCTCTGTCACACTTCTGCGTAAGCACCCTGACGAAACCCTGCACTCCAGGATTTGGAGGAAAGGGATTCATCGAAGTTCACAGGTATAGGAGGAAAACCTGTCTTCTCACTAGAGTCATGTCATGTTCTGAGAAGTGCGTCGTTTGATGGTGATATCGATATGCAAACATGAGACGGCACTTCCACGAGCCCAGATGGTATACCTCACAACACTCCCGGGCTAGAGGGTGCATCCCACTGCTCCCAGGCCAAGCACATTACTACACCAAATACTACAGCAACCCTAACACAATACTAAGTATTTGTGCATCTAAACGTATCTAAGCATAGAAAAAGTACAGTAAAAATATGGTATAATTTTTTTTTTTTTTAGATGGATTTTCGCTCTTGTTGCCCAGGCTGGGTTGCAGAGAGTGGACGTGATCTCGGCTCACTGCAACCTCCGCCTTCCGGAGATTCTCCTGCCTCAGTCTCCCGAGTAGCTGGGATTACAGGAGCCTGCCACCACGCCCGGCTAATTTTTGTACTTTTAGTAGAGACAGGATTTCACCATGTTGGCCAGGCTGGTCTTGAACTCCTGACCTCATGATCCACCCGCCTCGGTCTCCCAAAGTGCTGGGATTACAGAAGTGAGCCACTGCACCCAGGAAAATATGGTATAATCTTATAGGATCATCATCACATCCACAGTCCCCTGCTGACTCAAACACTGTTATGCTGCGTGTGACTGTACAGTTTTCACCCTCACAATAAAGAGCCACTGGAGGTTGACATCTGACCCTCTTATGAGTTTGCTTAATGGCAACAATATATCTGTCTTGTACTCCAATTCCTCCTCTATGTGGAGGGGATGGAACAACCTCAGCCCAAGGGTTGAGGAGCTAAGGTTAGAGCCAGGACAGACCCACTCGCCCACAACTCATCGCCTCAGCCTGTGACTCCCAGCTAGATTGTGGGAGTCCCTTAACTGTCCTCTCCTGCAGGAGGAGCCCAAGGTACTGGGGTCTCCCTTCCTGCCAACTTTTACCCTATGTTCTGCTGCTGAAAAGCCTAAACCAAAAACAGTGCTTGCCAAGTGGCAGGGGCTAAATAAATGAACTAACAACCCTGCTCCCCGCAAAACAGGCTTTGGGCGACAGCAGGGTCCTGGGTATGACCTGGGAAGAACACAGAGGATTTGGGGGAGGAGAGAGCCGAATGGTGGATGAGAGACTTACACATTTTAAGCTCTGTCTCCACTTCTTGCTGTCGCCGCTCAATCTTTTCCCGTCTCTGTCAGGAGGAAGGGGAAGTAGAGAAGTAAATGCAGATAGAAGTGTCCTAGTGTCAAGGACCATCTGGAAACAGTGGCAAAACAGGGGGTCAGGAAGCAACAATGACATACTTTCCTCTCCATGCGCTCCTCTCGGGTTTCTGCACGAGTTGGAGGCGGGGCATCTCGAGGGTCCTGGGAACAAGAAGAGAGGTGACAAGGTGGGAAGGACTAGGTGAAATGGCAAGGGTCACTCACCAAAGAAATAAGCAGGTCAACCCTCCCACCCCCACCCCCTACAAAAATAAACATCCACTCACACTTCCCCTGTCACAGTGCAGGGAGGGGAGTGGCACAGATCAAAGCATGGTCTGCGGCCACGCACAGTGGCTTTCCACTTGTAATCCCAGCACTTTGGGAGGACGACACAGGAAGAATGCTTGAGCCTAGGAGTTTCAGACTAGCCTGGGAAACAGTGAAACACCATCTCTACAAAAAATTTAAAAATTAGCGAGGTGTAATGGCACACACCTATAGTCCCAGCTACTAGGGAGGCTGAGGGGGGAAGGATCTTTTGGGCACCAGAGGTTAAGGCTGCCGTGAGCCATGATTGTGACACTGCACTCCAGCCTGGGTGACAGAATAAGACCCTGTCTCAAAAACTAAGCATGGTCCATGGACCAGTACTATCCAAACTGTTGCTGGACTGTGATAAGTACAGGTAAGTACAGAAACCATGAGTAAGTGTTCAGAAACTTCTACAGTAATTTCACAGTTTGATGTCCACTGACTGTAATACAAATTTGGTCTTTTATTCTGCAGGTCTTTTTTTTGAGACGAAGTCGTGCTCTGCTGCCCAGACTGGAGTGCAATGGTGCGATCTGAGCTCACTGCAACCTCTGCTTCCCAGGTTCAAGCGATTCTAAGCCCCACTTTCCCCTCTGTGTTTCTCTGTCTCTAAAAGGAACCCAGGAACCGACTAGAATCCTTCAAGCGGTACTCCTGCCTAAGCCTCCTGAGTACCTCGGATTACATGCACACGACAGCATGTTGGCTAGTTTTTGCATTTTTAGTAGAGATGGGGGTTTCACCATGTTGGCCTGGCTGGTCTCGAACCCCTGTATGAGGTCTTTCTTTAAAAAGTAATTCTTTTTTTTTTTTTTTTTTTTTTTTTGAGACAGAGTCTGGCTCTGTCGCCCAGGCTGGAGTGCAGTGGCCGGATCTCAGCTCACTGCAAGCTCCGCCTCCCGGGTTTACGCCATTCTCCTGCCTCAGCCTCCGGAGTAGCTGGGACTACAGGCGCCCGCCACCTCGCCCGGCTAGTTTTTTTGTATTTTTAGTAGAGACGGGATTTCACCGTGTTCGCCAGGATGGTCTCGATCTCCTGACCTCGTGATCCGCCCGTCTCGGCCTCCCAAAGTGCTGGGATTACAGGCTTGAGCCACCGCGCCCGGCCAAAAGTAATTCTATCATATTTACCACAAGCAAACAGATTGGAAATAGTATCTATCCTTCACCAAAGACAATTTAAAAAGCACTGGTACGGGTGACATCTAGCTTAAGAATATAGTATTTAGGAAACACATTGCTCCTCACAGCTCCAAGTATCACTTGCATTGAACAAACTGCCAGAGGATGTGATGGGAATGAGTGATGACAAGGCCCTGCTGATGAGTGCCAGTGAAGAGGACCAGGCCTGAAGCAACATGAGCTGACAGAACAGGGCTCCAAAGCCCACAACTGCACACCCTCTGAGGGCCAAGGCAGTTCTTCAAGGTCTCACCAACCACACATTAAATAGGAACTGGCTGGTGGGGTGCGGTGGCTCACGCCTATAATCCCAGCACTTTTGGAGGCCGAGGCAGGCAGATCACAAGGTTAGGAGTTTGAGACCATCCCGACCAACATGGTGAAACCCCGTCTTTACAAAAAATACAAAAATTAGCCAGGCATGGTAGCGCATGCCTGTAATCCCAGCTACCCAGGAGGCTGAGGCAGGAGAATCCCTGGAATCCCAGGAGGCAGAGGTTGCAGTGAGCCAAGATCACGCCACTGCACTACAGCCTGGGCAACAGAGCGATACTCCATCTCAAAAGAAAAAAAAAAAAAGTACCTGGCTACCAGGCATGGTGGCTCACACCTGTAATCCCAGCACTCTGGGAGGCCAAGGGGGGTGGATCACCTGAGGCTAGGAGTTTGAAACCAGCCTGGCCAAAATGGTGAAACTCCATCTCTACTAAAAATACAAAACTAGCCAGGCGTGGTGGTGCATCCCTGTACTCCCAGCTACTTGAGAGGCTAAGGCAGGAGAGCTGCTTGAACCAGAGGTTGCAGTGAGCTAAAATCATGCCACTGCACTCTAGCCTGGGCAACAGAGCAAAACTGTCTTATAAATAAATAACTAGTAACTGAGACCAGGCACGGTGGCTCACACCTGTAATCCTAGCACTTTGGGAGGCCGAGGTGGGCAGATCACGAAGTCAGGAGATCCAGACCATCCTGGCTAACACGGTGAAACCCCGTTTCTACTAAAAGTACAAAAAAATTAGCCGGGCGTGGTGGCAGGCACCTGTAGTCCCAGCTACTCGGGAGGCTGAGGCAGGAGAATGGCGTGAACCCAGGAGGCGGAGCTTGCAGTGAGCTGAGATCGCATCACTGCACTCCAGCCTGGGCGACAGAGCGAGACTCCCTCTCAAAAAAAAAATAAATAAATAAATAGAAACTGGCACATGACCTGCATCATCAAAGGGCACCTACCACCGCCTGTGCCCATTAAGTTAATTTAACTGGCCAGTAACACTTCTCAAATGCGGGTTCACCAAGGGTGGCAAATCCCACTGAAGATACACCTTTCTGTTATCTACGAACTTCTGCTGTGCAACTCCCTCGCCTCCAGCTGCCCTTCCCTACGCAATGCCAGAATGTTCTTGTAACTTCTGGCTGTGTGCCAGTTTTTCTCAGGTGTGCTCTGATGCACCTAAGAGAAGACCTTTGTCATCCCATTTCACAAATAAAAACACAGAGGTCCAGGAGCCTAAGTCATTCATTCCTATTTACCCCGAAGGTGCAGAGCTAAGATCCCCATCTGCAGTTTTAAGTCCTCCAATACTCAATACTGGGTGCTAAGTCTTTATGAACATCATCTTATTAACAATAAAAATAGTAAACAGAGTAACAAAGGCTGACACGTGCTGACTGCTTGGTGCCAAGCCCCCTGATATACACTTTGCCATTTAATTCTCCAGCTTTATGAGGGTGCTACCACTATCCCCTTGCTAAAGATAAAGAAACCAATGCATGAAGAGGATACAACATTTGCCCAAAGTCAGAGCTGATAAATGGTGCGGGTTAAGTGCAAATTCTCAACCACTACTCACTGAATTTTCACAAAAATTCTACAAAAGGGGTACTATCAAACTCCACTTTTTTTTTGAGACAGACTTCTTCTGTTGCCCAGGCTGGAGTGCAGCGGCACGATCTCAGCTCATTGCAACCTCCACCTCCTGGGTTCAAGTGATTCTCGTGCCTCAGCCTCCCAAGAAGCTGGAATTACAGGCATCATCATGCCCGGCTAATTTTTGTTATTTTTAGTAGAGACGGAGTTTCACCATGTTGGTCAGGCTGGTCTTGAACTCTTCACCTCAGGTGATCCACCTGCCTCAGTCTCCCAAAGTACTGGGATTACAGGCGTGAGCCACCGCACTGGGCCACAACCCCACTTTAAAAAAAAAAAAATTTTTTTTTGAGAGACAAAGTCCTGCTCTGTCACCCCGGCCGGAGTATAGCGGCACAATCACAGAGCACTCCAGTCTCCAACTCCTGGGCTCAAGCAATCCTCCCACCTCAGCCTCCTGAGTAGCTAGAACTACTGCTGCACTCGACCACACCCGACACCCGGCTGCAACCCCACTTAAAACAGCGAAACTGAGGATCACAAAGATTAAGCCCCTCGCTTAAATCACACAGCTAGCAAAATGGTCAGAGGCTGGACTCGCAAATCCAACCCCTTGCTCCCCAGAACCCAAACCATTCCTGCCTGCTCAGTGAACTCACCTCAAACTCTCGAATGTACGGCGCAATGCCACAGTAAGGTTGATTGTGGTGTTTTTCATGTGGCAGTTTCTCCAGGGGTGGCAGGTATGGGATAGGGTCACGGGGGGCAAAGAGGGCCAGAAGGTTGGGCGGCAGGAACTGGGTCATCTTGCCAAGTCTGAGAGCAGAAGCAGGACAGCCTTAGGTTAGATCAGGTCTGCAGAGAAAGCCCCTACTACTCCTTGACTCTCAAAATAAGAAAGAAAGGGAAAAAGTCTCGGAATTAAAACAGGCTTTGTAAGGGCAGAGAACGGTCCTGTGTTACCGGAGAAAAGGGTAAAAGTCTTGTTGGCGGTGGAGGTGAAAGGCCGGTAAAAGAAACAAAAATAAAGGCTGAAAAAGCGTTCCTGAGTAGTGACGTCTCAGAGTCCTGAGACACGAGCTGTGGGGCGGAGAGGTTCCCTGGGAATTTCTGGGGGAATCAAGGACCCGAGGAGAGAGGCCCAGAGCAGTTGTGGCTGCTCGTTCCGTACCGTGGACAGCAAATTACTAGACGCAGTTTGCAAGGGCCTGGGGGTCGGAAGTCTCCGAGCAAAGAAAGAAACATAAGGAGCGAAGCTCCAAAACCAAGAGCTTGTGGGTAACAGACCTGGGCCCCGCAAAAGCGAAAGGAATTATGGGTAAGGGTCCAGGACAACATAGAAAAACGAAAAAGAAAAAAGGCCACACACCGCAAGGGCCTGTGGGTAGGGAACCGCGAGGGCGATGTGGGAACTGGGCGTGGGTGCCCAGAGAACTCGGGGTCCGGGAAAGGGATGCAGAAGTGACCTGTGGCGGGGACGCGGGAAGGGGGCCTGGCCGCGGGGAAGAGGCCCGGGCCCACCGCTGGGGCTTCTGGGTAGCGGCCCCGCTCCCCGTCGGGCCACTCAGTCACACTCACTCGCCGCGCAGCGCCCTCCTAGCTCTGGTGTCTGTCCGGAGGCTCGCGGCGGCTGCGGCGGCCCCTCAGCAACAACAGCTCCTGCTTCGGCTTCCACTCTGGGGGCGTCCGAGTCCGTCTGATTCCGTCGCCCGCGCAGCGAGCACACCAGGCCGCTGCTCAGGAACCCGCGCGGCCTTGGCTAGCGACTGTAGCAGGGGGTGGGTCCCGGCCGCAAATCCCTCCGCCGTCTGCACTGCGCACGCGCCGCGCGAGGCCAAGACCAACCCACACGCTAGGACCCGGCGCCGCCGCGGCAACGGCGCACGCGCGAGGTCACTACCCCGCCTTCGGGCACCTTGAGTACTTCAACCGCCGGGAGCTGGCGTCTGCACTGCGCGCGCGCGCTTACCCCAAGCCGCCCCTCCACCTCTCGCTTTCCGCTCCAAACCGTCTATGTCCGCGAGGCTCTCCCTGATGCTCCGCCCCTTTCCAATCACACTTCCCGGATCTTGCGCGCATGCGTTCTGCGTAGGAACCTATAATGTACCTCTCCGCCGACTAGCAAAGAGTCCCTAAGTGAATAGCCTGATTGCGTTGATGTTTAATCTATTCAATCGATAACTGTTCATCGAGCATCTCGTGTGTGCTAGGCACTGTCTGGGCTTTGGGGCTACAGCATGTGATTAAAGCAAAGTCTTCTCCTGCTAGGGCTTACACTGTACTGGGAGAGACAATAAAAGCATTTAACTGAGTAAAGATAATTTGAGGCCGGGCGCGGTGGATCACGCAAGTAATCCCAGAACTTTGGGAAGCTGAGGCAGTCGGGTCACCTGAGGTCAGGAGTGTGAGACCAACCTGACCAACATGGTGAAAGCCCGTCTCTACTAAAAATACAAAAATTATCCGGGCGTGGCGGTGCGCGCGTGTAATCCCAGTTACTCGGGAGGCTGAGGCAGGAGAATCGCTTGAACTCGGGAGGCTGAGTTTGCAGTGAACCGAGGTCGTGCCATTGCACTCCAGCCTGGGCGACAGAGCGACTCCGTCTCAAAAATAAATAAATATAAAAAATAAAAGATATTTTGAGATAGTGGCCAGCATAATGAAGAACGATGGAGCAGAATAAAGGGATGGGAAGTGAGAGCGAGTCTATTTTAGAAAGGGTGATAATGGGCCGGGCGCGGTGGCTCAAGCCTGTAATCCCAGCACTTTGGGAGGCCGAGACGGGCGGATCACGAGGTCAGGAGATCGAGACCATCCTGGCTAACACGGTGAAACCCCGTCTCTACTAAAAAATATAAAAAATTAGCCGGGCGAAGTGGTGGGCGCCTGTAGTCCCAGCTACTCGGGAGGCTGAGGCAGGAGAATGGCGTGAACCCGGGAGGTGGAGCTTGCGGTGAGCTGAGATCTGGCCACTGCACTCCAGCCTGGGCGACAGAGCGAAGGCAGGAGGAATGGCGTGAACCCGGGAGGTGGAGCTTGCAGAGCTGAGATCTGCCACTGCACTCCAGCAGCCTGGGCACAGAGTGGCAGACTCCTCGGGGGGGGGGGGAAAAAAAAAAAAAAAAGAAAAAAAAAAGAAAGGGTGATAATGGAAGCCTCTTCTGAAGAGGCAACATTTGAACAAAAACTCGATAGAAGCGAGATCTGGAGTGGGGGGGGGGGGGGGGGGGGGGGGGGTTGGGGGGGGGGGGGCGGGGAGTGGTGTTTAACAGTTTAAGTGCAAAGGTCCTGAGCGAGGACCAGATGGCAGAAATCTCAGGTTCTTAGCCATGAGATCAGAGAGCTGGCACTTATGTTATTTGGAGCCCTGTTGTTAAGTATCTTAACCCCTTGTGGATGGATTCAATAGCCTGTTTAATAACTACAGAAATTACTGCAAAATTCAGTTGACTAATTTTATGTTTCAATAAAAAGGCCAAGTGCAGTGGCTCACACCTGTAATCCCAGCACTTTGGGAGGCCAAGGTGGGTGGATCACTTGAGGAGTTCGAGACCAGCCTGGCCAACATGGTGAAATCCCATCTCTACTAAAAATACAAAAATTAGCTGAGACTGGTGGCACACACCTGTAATTCTAGCTACTTGGGAAGCTGAGGCAGGAGAATTGCTTGAACCCAGGAGGCAGAGATTGTGCCACTGTACTCCAGCCTGGGCAACAGAGTGAGAATGTGTCTCAAAAAAACAAATAAAATAGGCTGGGTGTGGTGGCTCACACCTGTAATCCCAGCACTTTGGGAGGCCATGGTAGGAGGATCCCTGAGATCAGGAGTTCAAGACTAGCCTGGGCAACATGGCGAAACCCCTTCTCTACTAAAAATACAGAAATTAGCTGGACATGGTGGCATGCACCTGTAATCCCAACTACTTCGAAGGCTAAGGCAGGAGAATTGCTTGAACCTGGGAGGTGGAGGTTGCAGTGAGCTGAGACTGTGTCACTGCACTCCAGCCTGGACAGAGCAAGACTCTATCTCAAAAAATAATAATGATGACTGGGCACAGTGGCTCACACCTGTAATCCCACCACTTTGGGAGGCCAAGGCAGGCAGATCATGAGGTCAGGAGATTGAGACCATCCTGGCCAACATGGTGAAAACCCATCTCTACTAAAACTACAAAAATTAGCTGGGCATGGTGGCCTGTGCCTGTTGTCCCAGCTACTTGGGAGGCTGAGGCAGGAGAATCACTTGAACCTGGGAAGCAGAGGTTGCGGTGAGCCAAGATCGCACCACTATACTCCAGCCTGGCAACAGAGTGAGACTTTGCCTCAAAAAAAACAAAACGACAACAATAAAAATATATATATATATATATATATATATATATATAAAATAAAATAAAAGGGAGAAATCTGCCAAAGGAAAGGGATAATAGGCTTAACAGAAGTCTGGCCAGGCGCAGTGGCTCATGCCTGTAATCCCAGCACTTTGGGAGGCCGAGGCGGGCGGATCACAAGGTCAGGAGATCGAGACCATCCTGGTTAACATGGTGAAACCCCGTCTCTACTAAAAATACAAAAAAATTAGCCAAGCGTGGTGGCGGGCACCTGTAGTCCCAGCTTCTCGGGAGGCTGAGGCAGGAGAATGGCGTGAACCCGGGAGGTGGCAGAGCGTGCAGTGAGCGGAGATCGGGCCACTGCACTCCAGCCTGGGTGACAGAGCAAGACTGTCTCAAAAAAAAAAAAAACAAAAAAAAAACACCCCAAAACAGAGGTCTGAAACACAGCAGAGGAGACATTAAACTTTAAAACTTTGGCTGTGCGCAGTGGCTCACACCTGTAATTCCAGCACTTTGGGAGGCCAAGGTAGGTGGATCACGAGGTCAGGAATTCAAGACCAGCCTGGCCAAGATGGTGAAACCCCGTCTCTACTGAAAATACAAAAATTAGCTGGGCATGGTGGTGGGTGCCTGTAATCCCTGCTACTCAGGAGGCTGAGGCAGAAGAATCGCTTGAACCCAGGAGGCAGAGTTTGCAGTGAGCCAAGATTGCACCACTGTACTCTAGTCTGGGCGACAGAGCAAGACTGTCTCAAAAAAAAAAAAAAAAAATACAGCTCCAAAATAATCCCTGATTCCATGTCCTGCATCCAGGGCACACTGGTGCAAGGAGTGGGCTCCCAAAGTCTTGGGTAGCAGAGTCCAGCCCCAATGTCTCCTCACACAGATTGGAGTTTAGTGCCTGCAGTTGTTGTAGGCTCAGGGTACAATCTGCTGGCAGATCTATCACTCTGCAGTCTAGAGGGCAGGGGTCCCCTTCTCACAGCTCCACTAGTCAGTGCCCTGGTGGGGACTCTATGTTGGGCCTCCAACCCCACCTTTCCCCCCAGCAATATCCTAGTAGAAGCTCTCTGTAGGGACTCCAACCGTGCAGCCAACTTCTGCCTGGACAGTCAGGCTTTCCTACACATCCTCTGAAATCTAGGTGGGAGCTGCTAAGCTTCCTTCACTCTTGCATTCTGTGCACCTACAGGCTTAATCCCACATGAAAGCTGCCAAATTTTATGGCTTTCACCCTCTGGAGTGGTGGCCCAAGCTATACATGGGGCCCTGTGAGTCATGGCTGGAGATGGAGCAGTAGGGATGCAGGGAAGCAGTGTCTCCAGGCTGAACAGGAGACAGGACCCTGGATCTGGCCCAAGAAACCACTCTTTCCTCATATGCCTCAGAGCCTCTGATTTGAAGACTCCTGAAATGCCTTCAAGGCCTTTTTCCCATTGTTTTGGCTGTTAGCACTTGGCTTTCTTTTAGTCATGCAAACCTCTCTAGCAAGACAATACAGCCTGCTTGTATTTCTCTCCTAAAAAATGCTCTTCTCTTCTCTACCACATTGCCAGGTTGTGACTTTTCCAAACTTTTATGCTGTGTTTCCTATTTACTGATTGATTTTTCAGAGACAGGATCTCACTGTGTCACTCAGGCTCGTGGGCAGTGGCTATTCACAGGCATGATCCCACTCCTGATCAACACAGGAGTTTTGACCTACTCCACTTCCAGCCTAGGTCAGTTCACCCCCTGCTAGGCAACCTGGTAATCTCCCATGCCTGGGAGGTCACCATATTGAAGCCAAACTTAGTATGGACACCCAATCAGCATAACACACTACAGCCCAGAACTCCTGGGCTCAAACAATCCTCCTGCCTCAGCCTCCAAGTAGCTGGGAGTACAGACACGTGACACAGAGCCTGGCTGCCTCCCTTTATTTATTTATGACGGAGTCTCGCTCTGCCGCCCAGGCTGGAGTGCAGTGGTGCGATCTTGGCTCACTGCAAGCTCCGCCTCCCGGGGTCACGCCATTCTCCTGCCTCAGCCTCCCAAGAAGCTGGTACTACAGGCGCCCGCCACCACGCCTGGCTAATCTTTTGTACTTTTAGTAGAGACGGGGTTTCACCATGTTAGCCAGGATGCTCTTGATCTCCTGACCTCGTGATCCACCTGCCTCGGCCTCCCAAAGTACTGAGATTATAGGTGTGAGCCACCGTGCCTGGCCCTTTTTTTTCTTTGGAAGCAGAGTTTCACTCCGTCACCCAGGCTGGAGTACAGTGGTGCAATCTCAGCTCACTAGCTCACTGCAACCTCCGCCTCCCAGGTTCAAGCAATGCTCCTGCCTCAGCCTCCCAAGTAGCTGGGATTACAGGCACCCACTACCATGCCCAGCTAATTTTTGTATTTTTAGTAGAGATGGAGTTTCACCATGTTGGCCAGGCTGATCTTGAACTCTTGACCTCATGTGATCCACCTGGCTTAGCCAGGTGTGAGCCACCACGTCCAGCTGAGCCACCATGCCTGGCACCCTTTTAATTACAAATTCCTTTTTCTGTTTTTTTTTTTTTTGAGACAGAGTCTCCCTCTGCTGCCCAGGCTGGAGTGCAGTGGCGTGATCTCAGCTCACTGCAAGCTCCGCCTCCCAGGTTCATGCCATTCTCTCGCCTCAGCTTCCCGAGCAGCTGGGACTACAGGCACCCGCCACCACACCTG